AGAAGACAGCTGGATGACCTTGGGCCAGTCCTTCCTTCTCAGCCCTACTCAGCGTCAGGCTTTGTGACAAGTTGACTGATAAACAAAAACCCTTGTTGTATCATGCATTGATAAGCTTCACTGTAAGAACTAGGCAAGCACAGAAATTTGGCAGAAACAGAGTGACAAATGACAGTGAAGCGTACAACGTGCATATTAGGTAGGACTTCCATCAAAGAGGATATTTGGGGGTTTTGTTTCTGTATGCTTTCTCAACCAACGTTGTTTCTGAGAGTTTGGGCATCAAAAGCAAGATTCTAATAGTTATCACCTTTATTTGTCATTTTTGCAGAGCCAAGAGTTGTGTTTCGTTGAGTGAATGTGTACTTGCATGTCATTAATTTGTACTTAACCTGTGTCCATAAGAGTAATTAAAGCTGGGGAAATGACAATGTTGACATTGTTCCTTTTTGTCTTCCGGAGCAGGTTTTCAACCTTGTTGGAAGTTAGCTCCAGAGGCTCTGAACCCCTTCCCACTCTTCCTTTGCAACTCATTTTAGCATTCCATTTTGATTTTATAGCCTACAGAAATATAGTTTTATGCGTACAAATGATAGCAAGGAAATGCCAACAACGTATTGTACAGCTTTTCCTGCACCTCTGGATAAATATAATACTGCAGTGTTTTGTTGTGTGTGAATGTGTATGTGTTTTTAAAAAAGCCTACTCTCATTTCTGACACCTGTCATCCCCACAGATTTGAACCACTGTCCTCAGGAGTGAAGGATCTAATTAACACACAAGCTCTGGTGTCACGACAATAGCTTGCTTTCACAGTGTCTTGAGAAGTACCATAGTTCTTTCAACTCACAGTTGAAGCCTTGAAACTCAAAGGTTGCTTTTTAAATGAGTAACACAGATACTGTATTTTCCCCTTGTGAAAATACTAAAATTCCTTTTTATTTTTTTTATGCATGGCAAAATAATTGAATTAGGTAAAGGGAAAGAATGTACATTTAAATTCTTGCCTGCAGAGAATCATATTTTTGTATAAAGCAGAATGTCCCTTGAGCTCTTTGGTAGGGAATGTATGATATTTGGAAGAAATCAAGAAGTTTTCTGTCTTAGCTGGAATCCAAATGAAGAATCTGTTATATAAATAGACATACCCCAAGGGACTATATATATTAAAGTGCTTTAAACTAAATATTAAGAGCAACACTTCTCTGCCTAATATGCAAGTTGTATACATCACTGTTGAGATAAAATTCATCTTACTCATAATAATAAATGGGTCAGTATTGGCATTGCAATAATTAAAAACAAGAGGCTGATTGGCTTGGCTGATTCATTTTTTCATGAGTCTCCATAGAGATCATTAAGAATGTTGATAATAATTCTATTTTTATTTATGTCTTTTTATTTAAATGCATAATGAAATTCTGAAATAACCCTTGACATATGTTGAGGTATTTCACTCTTGTGTCTAATTCCATATGCAGGTGGAAATAATACATGAAGTTTTAACTTTCTGGTCACTATATAATGTACAATTTATGAAGCTTCTTAAAGTCAAAACCAGCCTTCCAAAACCAGTATGCGCCAAATATTTTGGACATTTCCCATAATCTCCATCTAATGTAGAATCAGAGGATGTAAGGATAAGAATCTATTTTGGATATCATCTAATCCAATACAGAGCAGGAATCAACATTACTTAAGCTATCCAGCCTCTGCTTAACTACAGTGAAGGAGAATCTGTCACACCCCAAGGCAATCTGTTCCATTGCTGAACAGCTCTGACTATTAGGGCATAGCCATCCAAAATCTATTTCCTTATAATGTGAAGCCACTGTTTCTTGCTTTGTCTTTTGGAGCAATGCTGAACAAGTACATCCTACCTTCCATATGACAGCCCTTCAGATACTTGAAGAAATCTGTGATGTCTCCTTACGCTCTTCTCCAGACTAAACACACCAAATGCTTTCAACCATTCCTCATAGGTTTTTCCTTCCTTACCATCTTGGTTGCTGTCCTCTGGACATGCTCTAGTTCAGGGTTTCTCAACCTTGGCCACCTGAAGATGTGTGGACTTCAACTCCCAGAGTTTCCCCACCACCACAATCTGCCTGGGGGAAACTGGGGGTGAGAGTCAAACAAACTCACCAGGGCCAAGACGTAAATACAAAGGA